TTAGCTTTACATTCTTAAATGCAATAGAAAGTATATGCTAGAATTTAATAGTCAATTCACGATTTTCTTTGGCTTCTTCAAATCTGTGAAACAGTATAAAATGTATACTTGCACTTTGAAATCCAGAGAGCCTCTTTTAATGAAACAGAGGTAGAATTTTATATATTTGTTTGGGCCGTCTGTTTGCTTTTAATGCTTTTCCACCTCTTTCGGCTCCCTTCTCCCTTGCCTTCACCCACTTACTTTCAAGCACATCACTAAAAATCAGATCGAAGTCTCAAGACAACAACAGCAATACTGAAAAAATGGAAATGTAATATCTATATATTTACCAGCTGCTGCTGTTGCTATTGAATATTATTTCTACTTCCCAATTTTCTTGCCAAGTGATTGTTTTATTTTTCTGCAGCTCGAGAAGCTTAGTGAAGTACAATCCCAACCAGAGTCACAATTGAAGTTCATTATAGAAGCTTGGCAACAGGTGAAGCTTTATCTCTGAACCTGTGAGTTCAGTCGTAATTCCATGTTTTAAAAAAAAAAAAAAAATTCTTGTCTTGGATGAGGCTTTTAATTTTATTTTTGAAAATCAAAATGATTTACGTTGCTTGAAGTAACCTCCTACAATTCACATAGCTAAGTCCGTAATATGGAGCTGTTCAAGGGGAGGGGAGGGGAGGGAAACACTGGAGGGCAGTGGGCAATAATCTCTTCACAATAGTCTCCTCCCACTTCAAAGTTCAAATTAGAGTTATTTTATCAATGTGGTCATAAGCGCTCCCCTTTCTTATTGTGACCCTCTTACTGCTTTTATTATAAAATTTAGGAATTTTAATATTATTTCTTTTCTGGTCCCAATAATTTATCCCATTTCTAATTCTTCAAAGGATATATGATTTTGTTGTTAAATAGTTAAGTTTATTACATATTAAACCTTTAAGATTGATTTCTTGGTATAATATGTACAGCCCCAGATGAGGAAACTTGTCATTTGAGCCTGATATTGTCATTTGGCACTCTCTCTCTCTCCCTCCCTCGCGCAATTTTTAAATTTTAAGAACCCAACCAAGAGGATTTCCTATCAGACACCCTTGTTAAAAATTGGTCATTTAAAACTTAATCAGTATGTTATGGGTTACAGTTTTTTTTTTCTCAAGTAAATTGTTATCATAGGATATGCCAATATGATGCAACTTATATAGCAAATAAGAAGAATAATGACCTCAACAATGATGGCAAGATAATCACCTGATTATCCACAAGCATGTTTGCAGATAGTTGAGTGTAGGAGGGTGTTAAAATGGACCTATGCTTATGGATTCTACCTGCCTGAACATGAACACATAAAGAAGCAGTTTTTTGAGTATTTGCAAGGTATCACGTTTTCTCTTGTTGAATTGAAAATTGCTATATACCTGTTTAGTTCTATTATATTCACTGTTTAATTTCAATATATTCTATATTGTACTCGAAGGTGAGGCTGAGGCTGGTTTAGAAAGGCTCCATCAGTGTGCAGAGAAGGAGCTACAGAACTACCTTAATGCCGAAGGTCCATCAAAGGATTTCAATGATTTCCGTAGAAAACTTGCTGGCTTGACAAGGTAATTGTTCTTCTAACCTTTCATAAAAATAGGTTTCAGTCCACTCCCATCAGATTTATAGAAAGCTGAGTAAGATAGTAGTGTTCATCGACTCTTTTAGTTCTCATTTTCTGAGATGAAGACATGTTTTTTCTCAGTAACTGATCAATGTATGTGTGATTTGTGGAGCCGTAGCCAAGTCCTGGTTTACTTAAATTTATCTGAGAGAGCTGTTTAAACAACTATGTTAAGACTTATAAAGTGATATAAAAATGTTAAATCGGCAAGTAACGTAATGAAGTGCTTTAAGATTCAAAATGTAGTCTACACGAGTATTCTAATATATTGCTTTTATCATAAGATAGAAAAGTACAGCATTGAGTTTCAGAAAATGTAGCAGGGATTGCTAACAATATCGTGCATTTCTATTACTAACGGTTCCCTTTTCTTACTGACAGTGTGACTCGGAATTACTTTGAGAACTTGGTTAGAGCACTGGAGAATGGTCTTTCTGATGTTGATCCACAAGGAGCCTGTAGTAAGACGACATGCTCTAAACACGGAGCAGGGAGCAGCAAAGTGAAAGTTGGAAGGGCAAAGGGATCTTCCAGGACAGGAGCATCAAGCAGAAACACAGACGATTCTAGCGGTTGGGCTTGCGATAAATGTACCTATATGAACGCTCGACATTCAACTACATGCCACATGTGCCGTCACCATCGCTAAAACAGGCCATAACGGATCGTGATGGTCTGATAAAAGTACATTTCTTCTAATGAAAACAGAAATCGTAAGAAATTTACGGAAAACTTGTTACTAGCTTGCCATGTGTGGGAGGTGTAAAATCCCGAAAGATTTTCAGCAGTGACTTTTTTAAGTTTTACCTTTTTTATGGTTTGGGTTGTGGTGGGGGTTTATGAATGTGGTTTCCTGTACGTAGTTTACGTCTCTTGAGTCAAAACAAGTCACCATATCCAATTCTGATGACTATGACTCGATTTTAAGTTATCAAATTGCCTAGGGTGTAATGCAAATTGACTCCTCTCTCTCTCTCTCTCTCTCTCTCTCGTTTGGATGGAACATGATTTCAGTAGCAATTGAGATATTAAACTGGACTACTGCCGTCATTTTTTAGGTTGTAGAATATTCACATTATTATGGTGTTTTTGAGATGAGATGAGCAGTGTATTAGACGAAGATAAAACTCGTTTGGTAGTTAAATCAAAATCAATAATTAATTTTAGCCATATTTTATGGGATGTTTTATCAATTTTTATTAAAGCCCTTGTTTGAGCTCATTATTTCAAAAAATTAGGGTATGTTCTCTTTGTTGTTTTTAGGTCATTTCAGTTTTCGAAAATAATGAAAGTATGTTTACTTATCTATTTTTGTAAACGAATTTTCAAAAATGAGTTAAAAATTTATAAGGAAAACGAATAACGCGAAAAATGTGTTTTCAGTTAAAACCGAGTTAAAACTTCACTTTTTGTATTTTTGGAAACAATTTTTTAAAATGATAAAAAGAATGAGCTTTCAACAATTTCAAAATGGATATTTAAAATACGAAACTCAAAATAAATTCAAAACTCAAAATTAAAAATTGAAATACGAAGAGAACAACCTCTTATTTTTGCAAAATTCATTTTCAACAATATATTCTTCAATAAGATAATTTTATGCGTAAATCGAAATTTTTTCTTAATTTTTAATTACACATTTTGTAGAAAATCATTATTCCAAATGAAAATTTTCCCCAAAATGGGGCTCAAACAAGGGCAACATTTGTTAAATTTTTTATTTCAATCCCTATCAAACAAGAGCCGAGTCAGGTTGGTATAGCTCATTATTGATTGGGTTGGATTACTCCTTAGCAAAACCAGTGGGTCGAAAATCTCAATAGTAATGATGTGGAACATGATAAATAGGGCTGGGTACCAAGGAATAGAGATACGAAAGAATTTGGTGAATGACAGCATGAAAAAATAAGTCTACTCGTGAATTTCAAAAAGTCAGACATCAAAAAATGGTTAATTATGCAAAATATTGAGACTTTGGGTACATAACATTCAATTTTTCATTCTGTTAGATTCACTATTTTAAAAGATCCGAGTAGTCTTATTCATACAATGAAAATTTAAAATAAGACCACAATCTAAGGTTTTAATTGAAAACCAACCATTATTTTGGCAGTTTTAAGATTTCAGTCATACATAAAAGCAAGGATTGCATATTAGCACTATCAAATACGAACACTCCCATCTTGTTCACAATTTAAAATCTATGGAAATTCTGGCTCTTAATCACTTTAATAAACTGATATTATGGCTTTAGAGATGTATGGTAGATACATTCAAAGCTAAGAATATAACAATTTTGGGTGAATTGTATCATTTCTTTATTTCGACAGCAGTTCACAATGAGTTATTATAAATAAAAACTTGTTTTCAGTCTCGAATATGAAATTTTCCTAATTTTTTGACATCGATTTTGCCTAATCTCTGGCTTGATGAGAAGATCATTTCGATCGATCGATCGACTAAAATTTGTTACTCGAACGAAGTTAGATCGTGGAATCATAAAATTTTTAGGGTTAATCCATTTGTACATAATTGATTACCCCCTCTCACATAGTGCGCGAGGCATGCATGTATTTAAAAATTTCGACAATGTGGTCCTCATCTCCATTGTGAGTAGTAGGTAAAAGATTCTGTAAAAAAAAAATTTTGATGACTCAGGTGTCTAATTTTTGCCCGACTAATCTTGAAGAGTAACGACCTTCCTCCCTGATTCGTCCCCCGGATTAATTCGGATACAATCACAGCTTATATACACTTGGGCCGGACATTCTCCTCCATGTGGACGTCTACCATCCAACATAAATGTTACCTTCCAACATTTAAATGTTGCCTTCCAACGTTGCGGGAATTCGAACCTTCGATGATCCGTAAAGAATCCTCCTATGCCCTTGGACGGCATGATCCAAATTTTTATTGATAAGGAGATGGTTTTGGAAGGAGAGGCACTACACTTACAGTCATTAGAGGGCCGTAAATTTTACAGTCCTATCTAATTAGTGTGGGCCCAATTTACGGCACACTAACGACTGTACAAGTGGGTTTTTGTTTTGGAAGAGCCCAAAAGCCCATTTTTCAGCGCCACCTTCTCTGTTCTATTCTTCAAATTCCCGACTTACCCCACTCCCAGCTGACTCTCTTTCACACGCACTGGCATACATAAACAGGGATCCGTTTCAATTCTTCTTTTCCAGTTTGTCCATACCATTTTTGCTTTGTGATTCATTTGGATTGAAACCCAATTCTCTAAAACCTCAATAAGGAATTGAAACATATCACTGCTAATAATTTCTACACGGAGAGGTAAAAATTATCAGCAGATCGATGCAGGGATAAACAAATTCGAAGAATGGGGCATAGTTCGAAGAAGAAGAAGAAGCGCGGAGGAGTAGGAGGTCGTAGGGTCCAGGCTAAGGATCAAAATTCACTTGCCCCCGACAATTCTGAACTTTTATCAGAGGAACTCACCGCTTTGTAAGTAATCGAATTCTATCTGTAACTCACTCCTTCACGTATAGGCTGCTTTCGCTGTATTTGATAAATGGGTAACGGCATGACTTTAGCCAAGATCTTCTCTTGTCTATGATACTATGTTATTTGCACTTGAGCTGTTTTAGAGGGACTACATATATTCATTTAAATTTTGTCTTCAACAATACCAGTATGTTGTAGCGGTGTTAGGTTTTTGAATTACACATGCTGAAGAACAAGTATACAAATTATAAGCATGTGTTTCACCGGAGCAGGTATCTGACAACATGCTTGGACAATTTTACCCTGCTTCTGCAGGTGAAAACTAGGACTATTAGCGTTGTCCGCATGCGTAATTCTGTGGCTTTCTACTAATTTGATTGTTCTATGGTCGTGCTGGTTGACACTGAGAGCTAAAAATTAATGTGCATTGGTTTTTTTTTGTGACAATTAATCATGCAATCTGTTATCATACTGCCAGATCGAGGAGAAAATATTCTCCTTGATTTTACATCATTCTTGGTAATTGTACCTTACTCAATAAGCGGAGGCACCCTATATTTTGCAAGTCTAGCTTGTATATTACAGTGCTATGACCTAAGGCATGTTTTGGTCTTTAAAAATATATATTTATAACTTGACTTGTTACAAGTGCGATGATCTCACAAGGTCTTCTCCTGCATTTTCCATGTCATGTATACATAGGTTAACAAGACAAACTTACATTCCTTTCTGTTAGAAATTATAGGGCTATGTGTGTTATTTGTGTGTTTTGTCCATCTTGCTTTCTTGAAAGAACCGTTTCTCTCCAAATTTTGGGGTTTTAACAGTGTTAAGTTATCAAAATCTTGTTTCCATGCGAAATGATGGGGAAATCTAAAATGAAGTCCCTTTGTATGTGGGAGAAGACAGTTTCCTTATCATCTTTGTGGACAAAATCAGCAGGAATTTGTAGTAGTCAAGCCCTGACAGATGCAAATGAAGATGGAGGAAATTGCTATTTTAATTACCTTTTTGTCATCTTTTCACTTGTAACTTCACGTGTTGTCCTCAAGGTTATATCCCCTATCAATTAATTCTTCTTTATCGAGTCTTATATTATTATTATTGGACAGTTGCAGTAATCATGTTCTTGTGGACTGAAAGTAGAAGGTTTTGGGGAGCGAGTACCGAATTGGTGGGCTTCCTATGATTTTCAGGGGTGCCCTAGTTATGTGTTGGATCATAAGTTGAGGGCGTTAAAAAGGGATTTAAAGAGGTGGAATGAGGAGGTGGTGGGCAACGTGGACTTTCGTAAAGTTCAGTGCCTTTCAGACAT